CCCCTTTTCTCTCAGGGTTACAATCCATCTGCACGAGTAGTAGGGCGGCTACTGTCCTGGGGGGCAACTGTCCACCTGCAGCTGCTCTCCTCAGGCAGTGTCACCAGTGCCAGGGAGGAGGCAACAGTGGGACGCTGAAGCCTGCCACCACTGCAGAGCCGCCGGAGCTGGCGGCGATACTTGTCTCCGGTGAGCAGGTAGAGCACTGGATCCAGGCAGCTATTAGCACTGGCCAGGGGCCGAGTCACTTTGTAGACCACGTTGACAATGTTCAGCACCTGGCAGTCAGCTTCCAACAGCCTTGCCAGGTAATAAATGGTGCGGGTGATATGGAAAGGCACGAAGCAGACAGCAAAGACAGTGAGCACCACGATGATAGTGCGGAGAGAACGGAGACGAGAAGATGACTGCGCCGCCCCTGGCAAGGGCCGATACAGGCGCCGGGCCATGAGCCCATAGCAGACCAGAGTGACAAGGCAGGGCAAGCCAAAGAGCAGCCCCATGATTGCCGAGCTGAAGTGCACATAGTGGTCAAACTCCTCAGGGAGAGTGGTGTCATGGCACAAGATGGTGGACCCCCTGATGCTGGTTGTGACAAAAAATAGGTTGGGCACCAGGCAGCCGGCTACCACCAACCAAACTGCCAGACAGACAAGGCCTGCAAAGCGAGGGTGGCCCCAGCGTAGTGCCCGCAGTGGATGGCAGATGCCCAGGTAGCGGTGCACACTGATGCAGGTGAGGAACAGGACACTGCAGTAGAGGTTCCAATAGAAGAGAAAGCGGATGAACTTGCAGAACCTAGTGCCAAACGGCCAGTGGTTGCGGGCTGCGTAGTAGTAGACGAGAGTGGGCAGTGACAACACATACAAGGTGTCTGACAATGCCAGGTGGAACATGTAGGTGGCTGTTGCATCCCAGGGTCGAAGGCGGAAGAGGAAGAACCAAAGAGTTGGAGCATTGAGACTGAGGCCCAGCACAAAGACAATGGCGTAGCTCACAGGCAGCAGGATGAACTTGAAGTCTTCGTTGAACCAGCAGTTGGTCTCTACCTCATCTTCTCCAGGACCTGCGCTGGGGCCTAGGGATGTGAACAGTAAGGACTCTGCAGTGGCCATGGCCCCCTAGAGGTAGGGCAAAAATGAGGAAGGCAGGATTTCCCTTGTTTTCCTAGAGGGGAAAAAAAAAAAAAACAAGCAACAGGGAGAACAATAATGGTTAAGCACTAGAGAGAGCTGAAAGGAGTGAATCTGAGTGCAATGCAGGTCTGCCTGGCCCCTTCCTGAGCTCCCTTAGTCCAGCCCAGGGAGTGGTGAGCAGTGCTGGGCCTCAGAAGGGCAGTCAGTGGATTTGGGTTGATTTCATTCTGCAGCTGACTCTCTTGCAGAGCCTGGATAGCTGAAGCAGGTGGAGCTGACCAGCACTATTCAAAGTGGCAAGATGCCCAGATCCAAATTGTAGACTAACTCAACATCACAGCTCTTCCCCAATGATGAGGGGCCTCTCTCCCAACAATGTCCCTACCTTTCCTCTTCCCTGGTCCCAGGTCTCTGTACTTTTATTTGCCTCTGACACCTTCCCCCCACCTGCCTACAGCCCAGGAGCCCCATCTCTACCCTTGCCCTTGCCCAAGAACCTTGGCACATCTCCTACCTGGTCCCCTCGAAGCTGAGCCGAGCTGACTCTGCCACCTTTCCCCTTGGCAGCCAGAGGGCATATCCACAGAGGGTGGGGCTTGGGGTGGGGCCTGTCCCTCCTCCCATCCCATCCCAGAAGATTGTCAGAACTAGAAAAGCCCTTGGAGATGATCTAGTCCAACCCACTCAGCATACAGATTGGGAAACTGGGGCTCAGTGATATTACTATTTAACAGCTTTGGAATGATTATGGGAGGGAGCACACAAGGAAACATCAAGTTTACAGGCGAAGAGCAGGCCACTGGAGGCAGCTAAATTACAGGAAGATCATGGAAGTCCATGGAAGTGAGCAGATGCATGGGAAATGAATTTTAACATGGGCAACTGCAAGATACCACATTGAAAGATTTTTAAAAACCTAAACCATGGATATATATCTTAATTCCATGTGCATATAACTATAGCAAATGTTTACGGAGTCCTCACTATGAGCCAGGCCCTGCTCTAAGAGCTTTATAAGAACCCCCAGTTTCTCTATCAAGTAGGTTCTAATTTTACTGGCCTTACTTTGCTGATGAGAGAACTAAGGCACAAATAGTTTCAGTGTCTTTGCTAACTAGGGTAGAATCAAGACCTGAACCCAGGCAAGCCCTGCCTTTGGACCGGACTCTAGCATCCATGACTTAACTAGTGTGTGATAAATTGCCCCTCTGAGCTACTGGCCATGATCTAGGAAAAGATCAACAAATATTTACCGAAAGCCTTTGATATGTCTAGTCCAGTGCTATGCACTTGTAGTTTACTAGGTGTGAACAAAAACAATAACAATTCCCAACCTAATGGTGCTTATACACTACTGGGGGGAATAAAATTAATCTGAAAAATACATACATCATTATCATTCTTATAGAGAAAAATAAAGGAGGGGAGGGATATAGGGAAGGGAAAGGGGAAGAGAGAATTGTGGTTTTAAATATTTGGGTGACTTGAATAAAGACAGGCTTTTGTGAGGAAAGGAAACAGAAGATGAGTTTGGCGGGGACCTGATCTTGAAGGTCCTCAGAGGACTTTCACTTGGCTGAGTGAATGGAAAGCCATTAGGGTTTAGAGAATCGTCATGTCTGATTTTCAGTGTGGAAGGCTCACTGACCAGCTCTATGTTGAGAGCTGTGCCAGGGGACCAGTGGCACAGGGAAGACCAGGCAAAAGACTGTTGCCAATAGGACCAGGGTGGCAGAGGTGGTAAGAAGTGGTCAGATTCTGGATAGATTTTGAAAATAGAGACATTTACTGATGTGTGGTGTGAGAGAAAGAGAGGGGTCAAGAATGACTCCAGGCAGGCTTAGATGGAGCACCAGGTCCACAGAAGTCCCTGAGGTAGCCTTGGCGGCAGAAGGTCAGAAGAAAATAGAAAATAAAGTGACTAGTCCAGAGAATGCTAAAGAAGCAAAATTAAAAGCAAGATATCCTCACCTGGGACAAAAGCCTGATGGTTCAGATTTTTTAAGGAAATGATTACAGAAAGGGCAAATATATTTTGATTCTGGGGATTATAACATGACTAAAGGAAAAATGAAGAACAAGCAACTTCCTATTGCAGCCCAGGATAAGACCGAGGTCACTGGTGACCACATTTCCATTCCACAGGACCTTCCTCAGTGGAAACCATTCCTCATCGCTAGCAAGCTGACTGGCTGATTAAAAGAAAGGAACTGCATGAGTCTTCTAATTCCCCTTATTTATCCTTAATATGTTACTTATCTGCTTTTTGTTTCCTTTCCTTCACTAAGTCATTTGAGACTGACAGCTTTGCAGGTAGTGTTAGTGTGTGCTGCTATTGTAAGAGAATATACAGTGTGCAGTTTTTGATTAGTTTAACACTGCACTGATGAAAAGGACATGTTAGAGCAGCATAAGTAATCTACTTGAAAATAATTGGATATATTACTTAATTCTTAGTGTAGGACTGGTTCCAATAAGTAGCAAGCAAGTTTTACCACTTTAATGTTTCAGCTTTCCTTACTTCATCTTAATTATAGCTTTTTATGTTACTCCTATTTAATACAATCTTTGTTGTATTGATTTCTTCTGTATTTTCTTTTTTGGATTTTGAGAAAACAGAAGTTTAAGACCACAAGTTGGAAGAAAAGTCACATAATTCAGACACAAGAAGATGGAGTGCCAAAAGATTTGACTAACTGTGCTTGAACTTGAATGGCCTTAAACCTGTTTCAGCTTTAACCATAGAATTTTACTTGGGCAATATTTGCCGGTTCTGGTGTAACTTATGTAACTTCAGTGCTAACAAGCTATTGTTGAAGCTAGCGTCTTACTCAGTTCTGTAGTGTTAGAATGCCTTTCATTGTTGAAGATGTGAATGAAGTGTACATGTGCACTGACTGTTGCATTCACTTTTGTGCCACTTTTGTAAACACAATAGTTTTGCAAACCTTTCAAAACCTTTCATACCAGGCTGGGTATGATGGTGCTTGCCTATAATCCCAGCACTCAGTAGGCAAGAGAATCACAAGTTCCAGGACAGCATGGGCTACAAAGTGAGATCCTGTTTCAAAAAAAAAAGACTCCAAGATTTTTGGACTGAGCAACTGGAAGAACAGAGGTCCTGTTGACAGGCATAGGGAAAGCTGTGAGAAGAACACATTTGGGGAAAGATGGGGAGTTCATTTTTCAGTATAATTTTTTTATGGTACTGGGGTTTGAACTCAGGTCCTTGTGCTTGCTAGGCAAGTGCTCTATCACTTGAGTCACACCCCCAGCCCCAGTGTATAAATTTTGAGCTGCCTGTGACACATGTAAGAGGAAATGGTCAGGAGGCAGTTCACACCTCACCAATAAGCTTCACTTACACACGCCACCCCTTCCTATACAGCACCTCAGCTCTCTCCATCACTCTCAGAGACCCTGTCCCTGAATACAGTGGAGAAGGTACAGAGAGCAAGCCTAGATTTTTGAAAGCCTAATGCCAGGGAACACCAAATTGTTGGCAGCTGTGGGTCTGAGGCTCCCTGAAGCTAACTGACTGCTTCCTAAGTATGGTTGTCTCAGGCATATGAGGCACACCGGGTCTGGAAGACTCAAGATGAGGGCAGTGATCTTGGGAAGGGGGAGTAGGGTGGAGTAGAATCCACTCCTGGTAGAGCTGGGAACCTGATCCTCAGGTCCTGAGACTGATGCCTGGCTGGATCCTGGAAGTGAGAGGAGGAGGCATGCTTGCAAAGGATTCTCTAGAACCTGGGGTGTAGACCTCTTTGAAGGTCTAGACCCCTGGATGGGAGAAACCAGGAGATCCTGTCAGTATCCTGCAGGGTGGTGGGTGGGATAAAGGCAAGAGTGGAGGAACAGTCATAACCTGAGTCATGAGCTGTTGGGATGTTGAATTAAAAGCACAGGTGTTTGGAGTTAGAATGACTTGAGTTCAAATCCTTGTTTTGCTTATTAGTTGTGCGACTCTGGATACCTCTTTGTAACTTAACTTCCTCACTAGTGAACTTGGGGTAGTAATACCAACCTTTTAGGGCAACGAGTTGGTCGGTAGGTGTGGAAATACTGTGTAAGTCATAAAATGCTGCAAAGCTATAAGGTCTTTTTTAACATTACTTCACTCCTACACATGAACTTGGCCTCTTCAGAGGAGGTCAAGTGTAACTTGAGGCTTGGTGTACACCCAAGGGGAAGGCCACTCAAGAGATGCCCTGGCTGAGCCAGCTTCCTGCTCCCACTGCTTCAAGCTGACTTCGCTCTGCCCTGGTTCACCTGACCCAACTCTACTTACTAGCTTTCTGCTTGTCCTGGACAAAGCTGCAGCTGCTGCTGCTTCCACTGCCGCCCAGTGGCTAGTTCAGGAAAAGACCTCTCCCAACATGCCCCAAGCGGAAGCCCTAGCTTTCTCCTATTCTCACCCAGGCAAAAGGAGTGAAATGCTGCAGACCGCAGTGGCTCTCTTCTCTGAAACTCTTACTGTGACTTTGAATTGCTCAGCTTCATCTCTGGATGTTCCTCCTCTCTCTTTCCCTGGCTCCTTTTTGTCCTCCTTCCACCAAATGTGGCCCTGCCCCAAGGAGCTTCTCTCTTTTCCTCTCCTCTCCTCCTCAACCCTCCTCTCCCATCTCCAACACTTCTTTCCTCCCTCCTCTCTCTCTCTCCTCCTCAGAACATTCACTCTCATGATTTCCACTACCAGGTACATTTGTTATACAAGAACAAATACAGAATGTTTAAACCTGTTGAAATCACCATAAGAAGGGAAGTAAGGTAGAAACGAGAAAAATGGAGTGGATGAACCAATTCAGGTTATAATACATATACACTTGGAAATTTCATAATGAAACTCCTTGTCTTAAAAAACAAAAATGTCTTTTTTCAAATACCAAGGACAGAAAGGCAAAACAGGTCCTGCCTGGGGCTTGGTACCAGTGGGAGGTGGGAGGATATAAGGAAAGGGTGTGGGAGGGTGAATATGGTGGAAATGCTGTGTACTCATGTATGAAACTGG